GTACCAAATTTCATCAAAATCGGATCATTTCTGCTCGAGTTATCGTGCTAACGGACACACACACACACACACACACACACACACACACACACACACATAAGAAAGGGGATTAACCCCGTACCCACGGTGCTCATCTATGCAGACACTCTGTTCACATTACACTTAGTCGACCAGTTGGTGTGAACAGAGTTGAACAGTAGCATGAGCATCGATTTACAAATTCCTTTCCCAGCTGATGTGAGCTAGGCGATGACCGGTAGGGCTGACTTCCAAGAAACATCGTTAACCTATAAGCCACACACCCTATCGGTAATCAGCCAATGAGAAGGGCTAATGAAGAAGATGGAGGGGTGACGAGTCTTGGAGCTGGAGGACCTGGAGAGGACAATCGAGGAGATCACCACGGGCCACCGGAGAAAGAAGATCGGGAGTTTGGGAGTGCGTGTATCGGTGCGTGTGCTTCTGGGACAATTAACAGTATGTAAAAAGAATAAAATATATAACTAAAGTTTTGTCAAACATACAAGTCATGTAATTTGTCAGTAACTAATTCTTTTAAATTTTCAATTGATTTTCTTTTCTTGTAAATTTAACGTTGTAAACTAATTTATCTTATTATTGTTGATTTTTGCCTTTTCTAAGTTTTCTTTTGCTGTTGTAACACTTTGTTACTTTTGTTGTTTTCTATATATATAAAATCCAATGTATGTTTGTATGTATGTTTGTTTGTATGTTTGTTTGTCCTTTATGGACTCCGAAACCGCTTGACAGATTGTAATGAAACTTTCAGGCCTTATTAAGCATTGTTCAAGGATGGTTTGTGTGAAGTTTGGTGCATATCCGTCAAAAGGGCTCCACCCCAGTGGCTCTGGAGTTTCCCATGTTATCCTTATGAGCCGTGACTTGTACGCCAAGCGTCCCACCAATGTCACGCCTCAGTGTTTTTGTATAGTGCGAGTGCTGGCCTTGCGCCGGAACTCGGTCGGTTTGGGTCAGGCAGCAAACCTGCAACCCAGAGTGAATGTCCGCTTGACTTGTGAACCAGAAGACGTGCGGCTGTCATAGGTTACTGTCAAGATTTGTGTTTAAGGTTATGTCAAATTATCTTTTACCATCCTTTCAGTTTTTCTACTGTGTTGCATACAAACCTAATTTTCAGTAACATGTAGTTTAGTGCGCCGAGAACGTCAGATGAGGTCCCGGATGTGAGGTTTCATCAGCCGCTGTCCTCGGAGAGGGTCGCCCGGAGGGACACGCCATCTTCTGCCTCCTTGGGCTGCCTACGGCCCAGCTTCTCCGGGGACCATTATGCCGCCCTCCATACAAACATCCGGAGGTGATGTTTTCCGACATCCAGATGGAACACCGCCACTAGTGTGATGTGAAAAGTGCCACCTAACGCAAGTTATTTTTGAAAATATCAGCTTTTTTAAAGACTTAAATCTCTAAAGGGGCCCCCAAATAATTTATTATTTGTTATTTATTTTTAAGCTAATTGTTATTTATTTATTTGAAAGTTATTTATTTATTTAAAGTTTTAGTCCACTGTTACCTTCCTTTTACAGTTACCACTTTTAATTATTTATTTGTTAGGCCTAATTTTGTTACTGGTACCAGTTCTTGTAAGTTCAGAAGGGTAGGCTAAATTCCTTTTCATTAAAATTTTTGATAAAATAATTCTTTGGATGGCTGCTTTGTTGTTATTGTTGAATTTTGAGATTAATTATAGGCTTTGTTGACAACTGTTTGTTTGTTTTTAATATTCACCCACGGCCTTTCACTTTTGTTAGGGATGTGGGGCGGCCACTCGCACTGTCACTATGGGGGGCATGCTTCCAATAGTTGTTCGTCTGGGGGCGGTGCGAGGGGTCGGCTCACTTATGAGTACTCATATTTAAATGGAATTAAAGAATCTTAACAGCTGGTTCAACTAAGCAATTTGATTCTGTGATGTTCAATAGCATTAAAAAGTTGATAAGTTTACCAACAGGGTGCAGCACGATTATTTTTTTTTATTTATGACAACAGCTAATTTGCAACCAAAAGGTGAGTGAGCGTAGCGAACGAACTTCAACCTGGAGGCGAGTTAGCGTAGCGAACGAGCTAACCTGAAGGCAAGTGAGCGCAGCGAACGAGCTCCAACCTAAAGGTGAGTGAGCATAGCGAACGAACTTAAACCAGGATCTTGAAAATGAACCAGCATTTGACATAAAACCACGTTAGGACAGGACGACGTCTGTCGGGCCAGCTAGTTCTAAATAAAAACAACAGAATCAGCCAGATCGGTAATCAGCCAATGAGAAGGGCTAATGAAGAAGATGGAGGGGTTACGAGTCTTGGAGCTGGAGGACCTGGAGAGGACAATCGAGGAGATCACCACGGGCCACCGGAGAAAGAAGATCAGGAGTTTGGGAGTGCGTGTATCGGTGCGTGTGCTTCTGGGACAATTAACAGTATGTAAAAAGAATAAAATATATAACTAAAGTTTTGTCAAACATACAAGTCATGTAATTTGTCAGTAACTAATTCTTTTAAATTTTCAATTGATTATCTTTTCTTGTAAATTTAACGTTGTAAATTAATTTATCTTATTATTGTTGATTTTTGCCTTTTCTAAGTTTTCTTTTGCTGTTGTAACACTTTGTTACTTTTGTTGTTTTTCTAAATTTTATTTTTTGTTCATTACACGTTGTGTAACACCCTTAAGCAGTCTTATGTCTCATTAACCTAACACCTCTTGACTAAGCTAAGCGAGTGAATCATTTTAGGAAACTTAAACTTAAAGTGAGGCATGGGACTCGCAATATATATATATATATATATATAAATGTATAAATAAATATATATATATATATATGAATTTGAACGGATGGTGTTTTTGGCCTCTAGGGACCTCAAAACGAAAAAAATCGGTCCCGCGTCCAGGTCTTTGAGTACTACGGTAATAGAAATTCGCTAACAGAAAATGAAACCAAATAGAAGCGATTCCAATTACTTTGTTTTATTTACAGCGTAAATTTAAAACAGATAAGTTTGCACAAAACATACTTTTGGTCGAGTCTCCAACCGAGGGGCGAGCTCAAGGCATAGTATGAAATCTGCTTTATCGACACAAATGTGCCGGGAAGTGGCTCTCCTAGCGACCATAAGTGGAACCTTATGCGAGAGTTAAAGTAGGGAGCAATTTTTAGGTGTACCTACAGTACGAGCACATGATCACCAAATTAATCCACTTGCCAAAACGTGATTGTTTAATTTAAGGTACCAACTAAAAAACAATTTTATACTGTTATTACTAAAGATGTTTCCCAAGATCAAAATAGCTCGTATTGTAAAACATAAATACGTTGGACCAAAGATTTATAACATGTCTGTGAAAACATAAAAATGTTACTACTAAAAAAAATTGATAGAGTTCTTTAATTATTTAAAAGCAAAAAGTACATTCAGTAAATATATTTAATGACAATTCTTTGCTATTTTACCTTGTAAACTTCATCGGTTACAGGACTTACTCCAATTATTCCGTCCATGATTCCGTCCACCTCCGCCTAGTACGTAAAGTTCACCCTCACACGTGACATTTAGTGTTCCTGTGTTTGGCTTTGACTCCCACATAAACCTAGAGCGCGCATCGGAAAATGCCACTTTCAGCACTAGTTGTAATCTCAATGATTGATAATTGATTACAGTATTGATAACAATCTTCAGCTGTTTCATAAAGACGATAAATTTACAAGAAAGTATGTTTAATTACAGAAAACATACTAACAACCATGTTTTCTGTGGTTTAATCCACGGTACACACTACACTTCAGTATGTTTTCCCAGAATTGATTCTTTAGTCTTTGACACTAACATTGCCAAGGGATGTGTCAAGACACTGAATGCGCTCACGTAGATCCCCTGATGATGAGGCTAATTCATCCCGTCAACTAAAAAGCTGATTGGGACTAAGTTCGAGATAAACTTGTGTATTTACAGCTTCCAGAAGTTTAAATGATGGTAAACTTTGTGTTAATCTAAGACGAACTCGACTGTTTGAATTGTTAATTAGACAGGCTTGTTGTTTGCTTTTGAAAGTATTGAAGCTGTCTTGTGAATTCTCCACCTGTTCGTGGAAACTTGTCTGCATCAATAGCGAGGTGAATACTTTTATGGGTGTTGATGGGTTCTTTTGTAATTGAAAGAAATAAGTAGGTGATTTCTGGTTACTTGCAAAATGTTGTATAATGGAAAAACTGTGTAGACCCAATAAAATTAAAAATATTGTAAACATTATAAGTTTATGAAAAAAAAAACTTAATAGTTTTCATTTTTTTAATGAATATTTTATATTTTTTTAATTTTTTAAAATTTTTTTGTTATTCAATTCATGCATTTATTGGAAGATTTTGAAATTATAATTTTGAGTTCCAAAATGAATTCCCTTCCACTATCACACTTCTATAGGTTCATATAATTTGACTGTGAAAGTTGGTTGTAAAATCACAGTTAAAGTTGTAGGGTTATAACTCAGTGATGTGGTTCGATTTATTATGATCTAATCAGCTAATTGGATTATTAATAGCACTTGTTGCATTTTATGGCCATGCTTGGAAACAGTATTACTTGAGTCGCATAAAACACATGGTGGTTGCATGTGTTTTAGTCTTGTGTTTGAACGAGGTTTAGCAAGTCTACATATATGTACAAATTCATACAAGATCAGTGTTCATAGACTCTCGACATTTTATATTTTCAGCACAAATAGCACTAAGAGAGTATTTAATGGTAAACAGTTACCGGTCAAAGACATTGTATACAATTAAATATTCCTCACGAAGCTCTTATTAGTCATGAAATAATAAAAGTTGAGCATTCTTTAGAAAATTTCAATAATTAAATAATTATACTGCTCATGAACCTAAGAGACCTCGGTTGTAACTTTTTTAACATATCTAGTAGGTCGCCGACTGACTAACAGGTTCATTGGAGTAGTATGTTTTCTGTGATTGGAGTTAGGTTGGCCATTCTTGTCTAAGTCGTTCAATAGCCTCCTCGTATGTTGGTAGTCCTGCCACAGCTGTGTAGCTGGGGAGAGATTCAGAGTTGTATCCTGACTCGACTTGAGCTTGAGCCTCTGTTATACGGACCTCCAGCACTAAAACAACAATTACAATGGTTAAATGAATAAATAACATTAACAACAACATACTACTATAAAAAATTACTTTCAGAAAAGCCCCAAGTTATTCTTTTAAAAACTCAATATCAAGAGTCAAAAGTACTCAAAGAGTTCATCACAGAATTGGAATTGCACCTACGCTACGGAATTACAATCACTACGGCCAAGTTTATTTTTATGATTCAGGAAATGAGCTGTTCAAAAAGAGAAAATAAAAATCGTTATAAAAATCTTATAAAAGAGTAATCTAACCTATTTCAACAATTCACTTTCAAGCTTTTAAAACTTTGGGACAGGTATAAGAGAGTCTCTACTGAACAACGTGAGAATGTGAGTAAGCTAATAAGACCAAGAGCGGGGATGATGTACGCGAATCTTCACGAAGCAATTATAAATATTTAAAATTAGTGCACATCAAGTTTTCAAACAACTCTAAGAATCTTAATACAATTACTCGAATCCAAGCACCAAGTTTTGAATGTCTACTGTTTTCTATTCTCGCTATTGAAAAGTCAGTTGAACAACTAGAAAACATCTTAACATTAAGCTTGTTATATTTGATTTCGTGACGCAAAAGAGTCACTTTAAACCCTAAATATGAACTATTCTACTATTGCTTAATAGTTTTTTGTATAATCATTATTATTTCATAAACCATATCTCTGGTTGACTCACATCTTGGTTGCCGCTGGCAGGACTCGTGGATACAGACGCAGGTACAGAAACACACGATACATGACATTAAGGACACAATTATCACGATTATGTTCCAAACCACCAGGTCTGCCAGGAGTCGGTCGTCGTACTCATCGTTGCTTGTCATCTCTACAACACTCGACTCATCGTTGACAGGTGCAAAGTTGGGGAACTCATTCATCACTGGTTCACTGACACTTTGTGTTAGGTCACTCTCGACTTATTCTTTGCTTTGTGTTCTCGACACGTTGGTAGTCCGTATGACAAGCTGGCACTCGCAGTTAACAATGTCCATCGTCACTTCACTCCACTGTCCTGTAAACAGATGTTACAGCAGACATGTTGTGAACCTGAATGGAAACAGATCCATTCTCATTTGATTTTTACTTAAATATTTCCTCATGTCATGTTATTCATTATTTATTTAAAGAGTACGTGTTTATGGAAAGAACAAAAATCATTAAATCAATATTTGAAATTATTGAATAAGTAAATTTTCAGTAGACAATATCTGATAATGTAAACAAACAATAAACAACATCACAATATTTCTCTTGAATTAATAATATTGTTATTATTCATCGTTCTATTAGGTGTAACCCGTCGAAGTCGACGATTACTGTTGAGGTGTCATTGGTGGCAAGCAAAATCATTTAACTATCAATCGATGATAAATAACTTCATTTTTGGAAAGTTTAGGTTGTTCGTGATTCAGCAGCTAGGTTTAGATACGTCCAATCTCGATTCTCAATAATAATTAACTCAAACGAAAACTGGTATTTTACTGAAGGTTCTTAGGTCAAAACATATAGGATAACGTAATGACAATTGAGTAAATGTATCTTAAATTAAATTCCATATAAATTCCCTATATATCGCAGTACACAGCACAACACAATTTTTGTGAACCGTTGCTAGTTTTTAAAACTGATAATACATTATGAGTTTAAACTGAAGAGTGTGTTACTATCTATCTTATGTTTGTATATTTAACACAAAAAGTTGTAATTTAAGTAATTTTTCATCGTACCTCTCAAGATTAATTTTAGTTCACTTAATTAGTGTTTCATTTAATTATTCATGTTGGCCTAGGTCAACAGTCATACATTGAAGTCAGATAGGCCAAGTAACTCATCCTTAGACTAGCTACCATCTGAGAGAAACATTACGAGCCAGGTAGTGAGGTAGTGACATCGTTCAAGTAAGCTACCAACATCGATGTTTACAGTCCAACTAGACCGGACTAGGCTAATACTCTAAACTGCTGCCGCACCACTCCCCACATCACCAGTGGGCATTGGAGCGACCCACAGCCAAAGGTAGCATTGAAAACCGACAAATCACACTTTTAACGTCCGATTTGTTGGTAAAACATTTTGAATGTATCTATTCGTTCTTGTTTATATGTACTTGTTTTCCCTTTAGTACATCCTAAAACAATTTCTTATGCCCAAAAAGACACTTTTACAATTACATGTAGGATTAATTGTAGTTATTGACATAAGAAAACTTACTCAGAGTATTGCCGTGCTATCCACAGAAAACATTACGAAGATTCGAGGCTAGAATGGCACACGGCAAACTAACACTGAAACTGAAACTGGTTGTCTGACGGACTGATGAGAGACTAATACTGGCTTATCAGCTGGTCCGTGGCGATAGATGACGTCATTCTGACGATAGACGGGACTTACGGTTGTGTACTTACTTATTCATTGTGACGTCATGGTTTCAAATGATGACCAAAAGCTTGGTCATCACAAAACACACTACCCAAACTTCAGCCTGTGATGTAGACCTAACCACAGCCCTTATTTATTGATACGATTGACGCCAAAGACAAGGATAAATATATTTCTCTCGTAATGCCGGATCTTTCTAAGGTATTTTATTACATGAACACTGAAATGCTATTGGCTAAAATGAAATATTATGGCTTTGACGAAAATAATTTGAAATTGATAAGGCCATACTTAGACTCTAGGCTGAAAGTGACGTAGTTAGAGAGTGAAACATAACCCCTTACCTCACTTTATCTAGTTGGCGACTCAAACCTACCTGAAACGTAAGCCCTGCTTGTCGTAATTTTGTGCAATTCGTAAACGTTAGACCACATTGTACAGTTCATTGTATGCCGATGACTCACAGCTGAAATCGTCTTACGAGCCATCCCAGATGCGAGCTTTACGCAATTTCATAAACCTAGAAGAAATCCTATGGTGTTCAGAGGCAAACGGGTTGAAACTCAATACTGGCAATCGTCTTGTGACGCATACTGCGTCACGTGCCTTGGTGCAGTCCTTAGAATGCGTAACGTCCATGAACGCAGTTTTGGGTTCAACGGAGAATCTTTGACTTTTTTGTGACAAGTCAAAGACTCTAAGCGGTGTGGTTGATAGCAGCCTCACCTTCTCTTACAATGTCACACATGCTTTGCAGCGCGCGTTAGGAAGGCTGAGAGGGCTGTACAGGTTCAGAAGTCTTTTGCTAGAATCTGCAAAACTGTACCTTATGCAGCCACTAGTTTTCTAAGCGTTTACATATTTTCCACCTGTTTATGGAAACAGAATCTCTGAAGAAGACTTGCACCGAATACATAAGCTGCAAAATTCTGCAATTTTCTTCATTTTGGGCTTAAAAGCATATCTCCCCAATTAGAGCTGTAGCGGGGATGACAAGAGTAGACACTGTTTGCAGAATCATAACGTGCTGCCTGGTGCACAAGGCTCTTGTCCTACAGGAGCCACAGTACCTTCTTGAGAGAGTATCTTTCCGGGAGGAGGTCTCTCAGCGCAGTACCCGCCATGGAAGTCTCCAGTTTCACTTTCCACGACTTGAGTTTGGAAGAGGATGCTTCTCGTACTTCGGCGCTAAGCTGTACAACGACCTCCTCTCTGGGCCCCAAAATATGCTCGGCCATCTTTAGTGTTAAAATCAAAGTTTTATATTCTAATAATGGTTATGTTATTTAGATTGTATTGTTACTGTTCCATTTATTTGTTTGTTAGTTTAATTATTGTTTAGTAAGAAGGAAGTTTTTCTGAAAAGCAATTACAGTGAGAAACGCTTCGTGCATTTTTTATTTATGGTTATAGTCTGTCTGAGTTGTGAGGCAAAATGGCAAAGTTAGTGCTTGTTTTTGAGAGTATACATTTTAGGACATTTCTATAAACGTTTCCTTATAACGAGATTCCTTATAACGATATTCCCAAGAACGATATATATATTGTTCACTAACAAGAAGGATATTTTATGTTATGAATCTTCTATGGTCTGGTTTTTAAAGTAGAATATTTTGGCGTTGGTTAAGTTGGAAGAAGATCAACGAAGAATTATTGTCGAATAAAATAAAACCTTACTACCTTTGAAATTACTACTTTTTTACCCGTATTTCATGTGTTATTTGACGTACCAATGACTAATAGAACCTAACCAAGAGTAGTGTTAAAAAGCAGCTACGCTATTTATAAAAATAGGAAAATGTAAACAGGTTTTATTCACAGCGTGGAGTGAACCTTTTTCATTTTGGTAGATCTTTCGAGCACAGGTCGACCACTAGTGTATATTTAATACACAAGCTGCATTGCAATAGACTTGTTTCATTGTAACCACTACCTAGCAAATAATTATTGTTATCTTTACTGATTCCTTTAAATATTTCTTCTCATAACCTTAAAGTTGTAGTTGTATTGACTGTGCATATTGTATTATTTCCTTAATTTTGTATAGTGTGGTGGCAAATAACGTTCGTACCACAGGCCGAAAGGGGTTTGCAAGTGAAAGTAGCTGTTTTTGGTACGCAATCGTGTGTTATAAGTGAGGCGCAGCCGAGCTAATTCATTTGTGATTGAAATATACAGGGTAAGTTTTAATTGTCACCCCCAACTTTTTTCTACATTTGTTCAAATATCAATCCCAGACCACTTCCAAATGTTGTTGGTTAGGAAGTACTTCATTTTGACAAGGTGGTTATTTCCGGCTGCCATCTTGGATTCGCCATACTGTATGCAAAATATTTTTTTTCAAATGTAAAGGTGTGGTTGTGACCCATTATTTCGAACTAGATTTTTACCCTGATTAAAATGCCACAAACTGTTTTTTAAAAAGCTCGATCCATTCCAAAGTGATTAGGGATTTTTATAACTTTATTTTCAGCCCATTTTAACATTGTGCATTTCCAAACTAAGACCATAATCTCAAAATAGTGCTAGATAAAGATAAGTATACACCACCAGTCATTGTTCACCTATTTTCACTTGGTAATGACGGATGTATTTTTTCAGCCGTCATTATGGATCCGCCATTTTGAAATGTGATGAATTATTTTAAATATACAAATAAAGTTATAAAAAGCCCTCATAACTTTGGAATGGATCGAGATTTTTAAAAAACAGTTTGTGGCATTGTAATCAGGGTAAAAATGTAGTTCGAAATAATGGGTCACAACCCCACCTTTACATTTGAAAAAAATATTTTGCATTCAATATGGCGTATCCAAGATGGCGGCTGGAAATGACCACCTTGTCAAAACGGGATAGCGCTGGGTTCACAACGATATGGTATAGGAAAAGGAATAGGACTAAACGTCGCTTCTCATCCGAAATAATTTTACCGGACCGCACCTGACGCACTGGACCGGATGCAGTGTGGGGACTTCCACTAAAAATTTATGTCTTTCAAATTTACCTGATCAGGCTTGCCTTGTCCGATTTTACCGGACCGTACGCAGTGTGTGAGAAGCCAAGCAGGTAGAAAACATGTAAACGCTGACAGAACTAGTGACTGCATCAGGTGCAGCTGTGACGTAATTTTCCTGGCGGACGACAAGAGGGAAATTACGCCACCGGTAAGAAAACGAGATCCCAGGATTCGCCCTAGTCTGGTCGCGGGGAGTTTCCCAGGAGTCGATAGTGATTCGGATAGCCTAACTTTGATAGCCCCGGTTGTCAGAGCTTGAGACGAACGTGGCGGGTTACTAACCACCCAACTAGAAATCACCACTCTAGCCTAGGGCTTGTGGGCAAAATAATAATTTTGACTTGACTCCGTGGGCAAATATCTAAATGACACACTACTAGCTAACTTAACAAATCAACAAGTAAGCTAAGTAGTCACTCCGCTTACCTACGGAGTTACGTCGTCGACCTGAAACAAACAAGGTTAGTACAAGATAGGCCTAAC